GATCCAGGTGATCGGTTTGTGTGATCGTCAACAAGAGACCGTGATCGGATCATACACTTTTTCAAGGAAATCGGCCGATTATGATCGGTGGCTGATCGATCGGCACATCTCTAGTTTTCAGGCTCCTCTCTGGTGGAACCACCTCCCGGATTTAATCCATGAGGCAGACACCCTGAATACTTTTAATACTAGGCTTAAAACTTTCCTTTTCCATAGTGACCCCACTATGTCACTATGTCCTCCAGCAGCTTATGTCTATAGCAGCATAATTACAGGGTTAGCTCAAGCCAGTCTAACTGTAGGCTGTATTTGATTGTACTACGTAGATTAACCAGCTATAATCCCAGAAATCATCTTTGTAAATTTGCTGCAATCTTTAAACCCTGACACAAAAAATCTTTCAGTGGCTACTGAGTGATAAAAATGCATAAAGTAATATGACAAGTGATATGTAGGATGAGCTGTATGTTGACACATACATACATTCAATGCAATAAGACACTTGCTTTGAAGACATAAACACTTTGCACTTTTATTTGCTTAATGTTATATTAAGCAAATAAAAGTGCAATGTGAGGTAATATTTTTTAATAATGTCTTAGTCAAACCTTTATGTTGCCTTTGGCCATGTGCTGCAGTACCCAGATGCGGTGGGACCAGGCGTTATAATTACTAGGATAGCGACAAGCTGCATCAGAGCACACCTTCATCTCCTGGTGTATTAATCGGTCCAGAGGACTACCCAAAAACGGGGTCCTCTCTGCATCAGGCTGCTCTGCTTCAACCTGCTGCTGAGTCTTGTGGGCCACAGCAGAAAACTGACGCAGGATGTGTTGCAACACCCAGCGTCTGGAGGGAGACACAGAATGTTCAAGAATCAGGTATATAATTTAATCAGCAGAGACATGATATAACATATCAGTATTTGCATACTAAGTGTTTTTAGCTGTCTTTTTTTTATTATTAAGATGCATGATTTTTTTTATTTTTTTTTATTTGAAGTTCTGTAGCTCCTATGTGGATTTTGCACTCCCACTAAGTATTGTGACAGTATTTGGTGTCACTAGATATTTCAAACCTAACTCGCTGAATTTTAGATGACTATGAGAAGACGGTACTAACAGTGCACATTTTTAATTCAGCAATATAATGTGGGTTGCAGGACTGTACAAGACCTCAACGCAGCAATTATGTTGATGTCAGGAATCACACTGGTGAGTAAAGCTGACAAGGTACATTTTTAAAGTTAAAGTGGTACACAAAAAATCATTCCTTTAATTAATTTATTTTACAGAGTAAAAAATGTGAACTATTCTCACAAAGTAACTGACTGTATCAGTTTCTTCTTTGTGAAGAAAGTGCCATTTTGAACTTCCTTAATAAATACTTTCTTGCTAAAAAACTCGAACTTTAGCAAACTCTGTCTTGGGATTTTGAGCTATCAGCTTCATTTTTGGTCAATATGCAGTTAAGGGATGGGGGATTAAAATTGATCAAAATCATGAGTTTTTGAGCATGTGGCCAAGCAGTGATCTACGCGTACTCTCCAAAGCAAACGAAACGCTATAACTTTCATTCCCAATGGCTAAGTAGCACCAAACTTGGTATGAGTGATTTAGGTAGGATGTTGTATCTGAGCAAATGTCTATGAGACTATGTCATCATTTTCTGATGTCATCTAAGCCCTGCCCCTTCAGAGCAGCAAGTCATTTTTTTTCTTGGAAAGCTCCACCTCTGACCCCCTTGACCTAATCAAGATGATCTCATGTCAGAAGACAGATAACAAGTTGGTCTCACTTGATTTAAAGTCCAAAGAGTTTTCAGTGGAGGAACTCACCCAACAGGCAAGATGAGTGACTGACTGAGTGACTGACAAACAGACATATGGATCTATTGTCGAGATAGAGATCTAGACAATAGATCTCTATTGTAGTCCAAATTTCTATTGTTTCTACTATATATATTGCACATTACAACTATGTAGTGGATATGCTCTGATCAGGTTTTTTGCTGCCAATTCCGATCACTTATCAGGGCTGATCATTGCCAATCATCTGGATTGGCTGTAAATTTTTCACTTAAGGTATAATTGCTACTACGTTATCTGGCAAAATGGAAAAATGATCTGGCAATAAATTCACCTAATTTAGACATAAAACATGTAAAATACTTGCAGGAACAAAATACAGAAGCTAGCACAACTGAAAAACCTGCAATCAGTAAAACAACATTTAACAGTAAGGCTCTCAACACCCTATCAAATAATGTCAACAGAAAAGGAAACATTCATTCAAACTCAAATGCAGGTTGCATCAAAATAAACAATCCTGAGTTACTAAATCAAAACTTCCTGAGAGCATGGCTAGCTGATTAATGCTGGCTCTGATTGACTGTTTCTGACTGAGCGGAGTAATTCTGCAGAACATATGGAGAAGGCAAAGGAGATTGATTAAATTTTTTCAGAGCTTTTCTTTCTCATGCTAGGACATAGCGAATGTTTTAATACTTATGTAAAATCTTTTTTTTTTGTTTTGTTTTGTTTTTAAGTTACATGCTACAGCTTTAGGCAGCTGTTCGGTGTGAGAGTTCCCTGCCGGGTTGAGGTTAAACGGCGTTCCGTCTGTGAAATATTACTATCAATATCACATAGCGGCAGTCAAGCCAAGAGCAGAACCAGCATCTTCCACTGCTAGCTCATCGACTTCAATTATTTTTCAGGTTAATTTCTTAACTTTCTGACCGTCATGCTCTTCCAGGTGAGTGTTAGTAGTTGCACGCTGCTTTACCTGCTGTCTGGCCGCTCCGGATGTCTTTTTTGTCTGCAGTGAGCCATATAGCCAAAGTCTGTTAAGTGCTTGTTTTTTAAATGTTATATTAGATTTGTTGCGTTGATGCATTTTGACGTGTTTCACTCCTGAGGTATTTTTCCGTCGCAACACACAAACTTCTCCATTAACTCTAAGAGCGTTATAGTTTCACACCTCATGGCTTAGGATTTGCTGTGCAGTGTGAAGGAAAGAGGAGATAAGCTGCACACACAGGCTCTGCATTGAGATAAAGGTGATCGGTTTTGGTGATCGGCAACAAGAGACAGTGATCGGCGATCACCAATCATACACTTTTTTACAGAAATCGGCCAATTATGATCGGTGGCCGATCAATCGACACATCTCTACTATGTAGTATTCAATAGAGCTTTGGAGCTGACGTCACAGCGTATGACGTTTACGTCGCTCGGCGCGATCTTTGGTATCCACAGACCACAACAAACTAGTCAGAACACCAGTGTTTTCTTTGCGTTACCGACTGCAGTGAAGTTGTTTTCAAGTTAGATATTGGATATTCACGCTCCGTGGAGTAAGGGGCTTTTAGCTAGAGGCTGATCCGATTTGTGAACGCTAATTTCGGACAGCTGTTCTCCACCGCTCCCTCAAGGGCACCGCAGTGAAGTTAGTTTCAAGTTGGATGTTCGAGCTCCGCGGAGTAACCAGCGTTTAGCTCAAGGTTGAACCGATTTATTAACGCTAAT